ACGATATAGTTCAGTTTGCTGTTAAGGATAGAAACAGTTTTCAATTTTATCTAAACAATTTAGTTATTTGTCCTTAATCATCTGAAATTGTTCCTTCTTCTTCCAATGTGATTTTGTTGCACCGTTTGCTTTATGCTGCAATACAGTAGTTTGGAGTTCAGAGTTATGATCAGTTTCATTGTATTTGAACACTTTCCTTTCATCTGGAATAGAAATCAAGTTACATATGAAATATTGTCAATTAGTTTCAGTTGAATGTTTAATAATCTGATAGTTTTGATAGAAAACTGTAAAACAAACACTCGACTGAACATTACTTACATACTTACTTCGTTACATACACCTGTTACCCAGAATGGAGCGTAGGTCCCTGACCACCATTCTCGAACTCACTCTTTCCTGTATCTACCTTTCTAGTTCTATCCAAATGTTGTTCATTCTTCTCATTTCTGTCTCCATTTATCAGTGTAATGTGTTGTTTGGTCTTCCTCTTCTCCCTGTGGCTTTGAGGATTCCGAATGAGGGCTCGTCTTATAAGGCAGTTATGTACTTTCCTCAATGTGTGTCCTATCCACATTCTAATGATATCTTTATTTCGTTATGTAGTACGACTAATTGAAATGGTCTACTTGCTAAAGCGACCTCAGATTTTACTGTAGATTTTTCTCAATTTTGTCAGTTTTGCCATTGGCTATAACCTTATTCATTCCTTTGCATGATATTCACTCTTTTCAGACTGATGACCACTAATTGTACTTTACTAATTTTCTTTCTGTCAGGTTTCCCTTATTGTGGATTACTGAGTTGTACTGTTATAAGTTGCTCTGATTCGACTTCCTACCCTCTTAACAGCTAACTATTGAAGTGTTGTCTACATTTTTTTCTCACACCCTACAATTTCTAAGAAATGGGTGGTAGGGAACCATAATTGCCGTCCATTTAATTTCAACCGATGTATATGGTGAATATTTAACGACATAGTTCAGGTAATCAGATATTCATTAGATATTTATGACTTGGCAACAAATAACTCATCATAGTGATTGATGTTTATTTTTATAAACCGAGTCAAATGATTCAATTGTTTACCTTTTAATTACAACTCAATTATTCATTATTCATTATTCACATATATAATGACTTCTCTACTCAATAGTTGGCGCCCAATTTCTGTTAAACACTCCGTTTGGAAATCAAGTAGTGCTCAGTCGCCAGGGAATCGTTATTTCATACAAACACCACAGTTAGGTAACTTAATTGGAAATAAACCTTGATCGGTATAACATATTACACATGACAATACATTATCTAATAGTCCATGTGGTATAGCTGTTACATCATTTGGACAGATTGAAATACGAAATGGACCGTCTGAAATACTACGTTGTATAAATAGGGAAAATATTTACAAGAAACAAAATACACCCATGACTAGATGTAAACGAGCAAATACATTGCGAAAAGATAACTGTAAATTCTTGTAGTTCTGTTGGTGCATGCTATGCATGGTATGCATATTATGTATGGTATTAATTGTGAACGTAGGACGGATAATTTTGACTGAGATATCGAGGACAGTTAACTGAGCATTGTTGCGCTGAATAGAAATTCGAACTTGCGGTGGGCGGAGAGATGCATGATCACATCCTAATGTTCGTGTTTGATTCCTCTCACTCCACTCTGCACGTATTAATAGATCGATTAGGCGAATAGCTGTTATCGTGCATCGAAAAGCCACAATCTCACACGTAATAATCATGCATGACTTTATTAATATTCAAGTAGGTAGGTTACAACTTGCTAACCAATTTAGCTCTACATGATAATGGTATACTGTTGAAAGTGTCATGGTAGGATACAATTCAAATCAGTAGTAAACTATAATCCATTTACGGACCTCAATGTGATGATATTTGCCAACCGAATCAAACAGAAATCCTTTCACAAAAAGAACGATTGTCTGACTTTGAAAGATCTGTGTATTTGACAACATCGTAAACCCACATAATGATAATGATGGGTGAATTGTTACACAATCTTCAACAACATTTCAATTAGTTCACTTAATCTCCGTGTTAGTCAGATGAATTCCAATGTATCTGAATTCGAATGCCCATCTCCATCAAACTCAT